ATTTGGAGCTTTTGGCTTGCTTTACAAATGAGTGAGGAGTGCTCTATTTATAGGTCTCATAGGATCCTTCTAGGCACTCCTACTTCCTTAACCTTCTAGAATATTCTATAGGATTCTAGCTTAGGAATAATCTAGAATTGTTTAGGTAAATTAACTACTCTAGATCTTTCTAAGTCTATCTTATGGGCTAGCTAATTTATTAATTATCATACAACTTCTAGCCCAATAAGTTAACATCTAATGGACCCAATTATTGGGCTAAGCCAAGTTTAATTTCTAGCATCCCCTCTTAAACTTCACTTAGCAACACCAAGTAGATTTCGCATCTTTGCAAAGACATAATGCTTGAGTGGCTTTGTGAGAATATCAGCGACTTGGTCTTGAGTCTTCACATACTCTACTTGAACTTCCTTCTCCGCTATCCTTCCTCGAATGAAATGATATCGAGTGTCTATGTGCTTGCTTCGATCATGAAACACTGGATTCTTTGCTAATGCAATAGCTGACTTGTTGTCCACAAATATTGTTGTTGCTTCTTCTTGAGACATGCTGAGAGCTTGCAATATGTAGCGGAGCCAAATTGCATGACACACACACTTGATGTTGCTGCAACGTACTAGGATTCACAAGTGGATAGAGTGACGATCGATTGCTTCTTTGAAACCCATGTGAAAGCGGTGTTTCCCATGTAGAATACGAACCCAGTTGTGCTCTTGCGGTCATCAATATCTCCACCCCAATCACTATCACAATATCCAACCAGCTTAAACTCATCAGATGAAGAGTAAAACAACCCATATTCAGTGGTGCCTTTAAGATACCGCAAAATCCTTTTTGCAGCCTTCAAATGAGTTGTTGTGGGGGCCTCCATGAATCGACTAACAAGTCCAACACCGAAGAGAATATCTGGTCTTGTACATGTTAAGTATCTTAAGCTCCCCACAAGACTCTTAAAGTAAGTTGGATCAATCAATTTTCCTTTATCATTCCTTGATAGCTTTAGTCCACTTTCAACAGGTGTACTTACAGGTTTAGAGTCTTCCATGTTGAACTTCTTGTGTACTTCTCTCGTGTATCCTTCTTGAGTGATGAATATACCATCATCCATTTGTTTCACCTCGATGCCAAGATAGTAACTCATAAGCCCAATGTCAGTCATCTCGAACTCCTTTGTCATGACTTGTTTAAATTCATCAAACATCGTCATGTTATTACCTGTAAAGATGAGGTCGTCCACATAAATGCACACGAGCAGTATGTCTCCTTGATGATTTTTCTTGATATATAGAGCATGTTCTTGCGGACATTTCACGAATCCATTAGCTTGGAAGTATTGATCAATTCTACTATTCCAAGCTCTTGGTGCTTGTTTAAGCCCATAAAGAGCCTTATTTAGCCTCAACACTTTACCTTCTTGCCTTTTGACCTTGTAACCTTCGGGTTGCTCAATGTAGACTTCTTCTTCTAGGAACCCATTTAAGAATGCAGACTTGACATCCATTTGATGTATCTTCCACTTGTTGTGAGCCGCGAATGCAATTATCAATCTTATTGTTTCTAATCTAGCCACGGGCGCAAATACTTCTTCATAATCAATGCCATGTCTCTGGGCGTAGCCTTTGGCCACTAGTCTTGCCTTGTACTTCTCAACTTCTCCTTTTTCATTTTTCTTGATCTTAAATACCCATTTCACTCCAATTGCTTTATGTTTTGGTGGAAGTGTGGCAAGCTCCCATGTTTTATTCTTCACGATTGACTTGATCTCGTCATCCATTGCATCTCTCCATTTCTTGTTTCTTGTGGCTTCTTGAAAACTTAGTGGCTCACAATCACCAAATAGACAAAAGAGTGTAAGTTCATCATTTGAGTTCAAATTTTGTGTTACCTCGTAAAGCTCTTCAATGCTTCTCATGCGTGGTATTTCTCTTTCATCCGAACTTGGTGATGAAGCTTGAGATTGAGTGGGAGATGGTGGAGGAGTTGTATTTTCATGATTTTCTTCAACTTCTTCTTCATATTCCATGGGAGGCAAGAGACTATAATCTTCTTTGTCACCAATGCTCCAATCCCATGAGCCTTCTTCATCAAACTCCACATCACGACTTATTATAAGCTTTTTCAAATCCGGATTGTAGAGTTTGTACCCTTTTGAGTGTTTATCATATCCAATGAATATAAACTTCTCACTCTTGTCGTCGAGTTTTGACCTAGTCTGATCGGGTACATGCGCATATGCAATGCATCCAAATACTCTCAAGTGTGAGACTCCAGGTTTACCTCCATGCCATGCTTCTTGTGGAGTTTTTCCATCGAGACTCTTCGTGGGGCAGCGATTTTGAAGATAAACAGCACAATCCACAGCTTCAGCCCAAAAATCTTTAGGCATACTCTTTGTTTTTAGCATGCTTCGAGCCATGTTGAGGATCATCCTATTCTTTCTTTCGGCAACACCATTTTGTTGTGGTGTTCGTGGGACAGTCATGGGACGGCGGATGCCATTATCTTCACAAAATTGATTAAACTCCTTTGATGTGAACTCTCCACCCCGATCTGATCTCATGGCTTTGATACTGTACCCACTTTCTTTCTCAATAAGAGCCTTAAATTTCTTGAATGCTTCAAAGGCCTCAGATTTTTGTTTAAGGAAATATACCCATGTTTTTCTTGAGTAATCATCGATGAAAGTGAGAAAGTACTTACTTTTACCATGTGAACATGGAGTAATAGGACCACATTAGTCGGTATGGACTAACTCCAATGGTTCCTTAGCTCTTGAGGTAACTTCTTTAGGGAATGGTTTCCTTGATTGCTTCCCAAATAGGCAACCTTCGCATAGCTGATCAGGATGATTGATGAAGGGCAAGCCTTTCACCATGCCTTTGGATGATAGCATTTTCAAGCCACCAAAGTTTAAGTGCCCATATCTTAAGTGCCAAATCCATGACTCGTCTTTCAAGCAACTTTTTAAGCATATGGCTTGATCTCTTTGAATGTCAAGCAAGAACATTCGGTTTCTAGTCATCGGCACTTTAGCAACTAGTCTTCCATTATTGTCTCGTAGAGAAAGACTACGATTCTTTAAGTGAATATCATAGTCCTTTTCTAAGAGTTGTCCCATACTTAGAATATTTGTTTTTAAGTTGGGCACATAGTAAACATCGGAAATGAATTGGTGACTTCCATCGTTTAGACGGATTAGAACGTTACCTTTACCATTCACCACGACTTTAGACTCATCTCCAAAAGTAACATGACCTTGAGTTTGTTCTACCTTCACGAACATGCTTTTATCTCCCGTCATGTGGTTGCTAGCTCCGGTATCTAAATACCACGTGCTCTTCTTTGTTTGTTCTTCATGATTTGCCATCAACAAGGTAAGTTCTACCTCATTATTCATCTCCATGAGATGGGCCTCTTCTTTCACATGATTAGAGCGCTTGCATTCATATGCATAGTGGCCATATTTATTGCAATTATGACACTTTAGTTGAGACTTCTCGTACCTTTGTGGTTTGCTTCCTCTCCCACGGCCTCTAGATGCTTGCGTATATTGAATTCTTTCTTCATTGTTGAAGTTTGTATAACCACGACCTCGACCACCTCTTCCACGTGCACCACGTCCTTGATCATAACCACGACCTTGTTGGCCTCTTTCTTCACCTCTATTCTCCCCTCTTTCTTTAAAAGAGAGTTTGGAGTAAAGAGAATGCTCCAATGATTCATCAGATTTATTTCTCACAACTCTTCTTCATGGACTTGTAGTGAGCCCATAAGTTGATCAATGGTCATGGACTCTAAATCCTTGGACTCTTCTATGGCCACCACAATATAATCATAGTCTTTGGTGAGAGAGCGAAGGATTTTCTCAATCACCGTTATGTCCTTTAGTTCCTCACCATTCATCTTCATCTCATTTACAATTACTAACACTCTAGAGAAATAGTCGGATATTGATTCCGAATATTTCATTTTAAGTTGTTCGAACTCACCTCTAAGAGTTTGAAGACGAATTCTCTTCACCTTGTCAACTCCCTTGAAAGAGTTATGTAGTATCTCCCATGCTTCTTTAGAAGTGGTGGCATTTGAAACCTTCTCGAACATGGCCTCGTCTAAGCATTGATATATGAGAGTGAGAGCTTGTTGATCCTTCCTCCTACTCTTTTGGAGACTATCCCTTTGGGATTGATTTAAAGTAGCATCATCTTGAGGTTCCTCATAACCTTTCTCAACAATCTCCCATGCATCTTGAGATCCAAGCAAGGCTTTCATGCGAATGCACCAACTAGAGTAGTTATCTTTAGTGAGACGAGGAAATTGGAATGGAACTAAGCCGTTGGAATTCATTTTTCTTGAAAGGATTGATGGCTCTGATACCACTTTGTTGGAAGAAAGTAGTTGATGAGTATTATATTTGGGTGATTGTGTGTGGAAGAGAGAATTTTAGAGAGGTGATTTTAGAAGAACTTGGAACTTGTATTGATTTGGAGCTTTTGGCTTGCTTTACAAATGAGTGAGGAGTGCTCTATTTATAAGTCTCATAGGATCCTTCTAGGCACTCCTACTTCCTTAACCTTCTAGAATATTCTATAGGATTCTAGCTTAGGAATAATCTAGAATTGTTTAGGTAAATTAACTACTCTAGATCTTTCTAAGTCTATCTTATGGGCTAGCTAATTTATTAATTATCATACAACTTCTAGCCCAATAAGTTAACATCTAATGGACCCAATTATTGGGCTAAGCCAAGTTTAATTTCTAGCAATCTCATTCCCAAATCGGAATATTTGAACCCAATTCGGTCATCACCGGATCCACACCTATTTAGTGTGTGGATAAGTAGAAATTGATCGAATTGAATAGCCGTCCATGCAGGAGCATAGATATACACGTACTCGTTATGTCCCATCACAAAAGTTTCATCTACCTTTTCTGAAAGAAGCTTATATGGAGACGCCCTATATATATAGAGAGACAATGCAAGCTAGCTAGTTATACACGTACTTGTATTACGAAGTACTCTATTATTCTAGTGTAAAAGTACGTTGAAAGGGACGAAAATAATTATACAAAAATGGGAAAGGGGGTGGAAGAAGAAAATGGTGTGAGCACGGGAACAAGTTTATTATGTATGATGGTGATGGTGATGATGATCAGTACGGCGACGGCATTGGGTTATGTCGGGTGGAAGTTGATATTGAAGAAGCTCCAGGAAAAGGGAGGGAGGGGCCCGGCGCCAGGGCGAATTGTGAATCCTACAAACTGGCCGGTCATCGGAATGCTGCCGGGGCTATTGCAAAACGCGAGCCACATCCACGACTACGTGACGGAGATCCTAAAGCTCAACGGCGGCACATTTGAGTTGAAAGGGCCGTGGGGCTTCCCTAACCTCAACATGCTCTTCACCTGCGACCCCGCCAACATCAACCACATCCTCTGCAAGAACTTCAAGAACTACCCAAAGGGTCCCCACTTCCAGAAAATCTTCGAGATTCTCGGGGACGGGATGGTGAACACCGACCACGACCTCTGGGAGCTTCACCGGAAGACCACCATGCCCCTCATGAACCACCCGGACTGCCGCGCTCACTTGGAGAAAACGGTGTCGGATAAGATCCGACACGGGCTGTTCCCGCTTCTCGAGCATCACGTGCAGAAGCGGGACCCCTGCGGGTTGAAGCAAGTTTTCCGACGGATATCCTTTGACATCGCCTGCACCCAGTTTCTGGACAAGGACCCTTGCAGCCTTGGCGTTGGCGGGGACGACCACCCCTTTCTGACGGCGGTGCGGGAGGCGGTCAACGCAATTCTGTACAGACATGTTCTCCCGGAGTGGTGTTGGAAGCTGCAGAAATGGGTGGTAGGAGTTGATAGAGAGGAGAAGCTGAGGCAAGCATGGCGGACTTCTGACGACTACATAAACCCGATCCTTTCGGACAAAATACAGCAGCAAAACGACGACGGATCCAATGAGTTCAGCATGTTGCGGTCGCACATGAATGCCTTCCAAGGAATGGGTTTTAAATTTCTAAGAGACAACGTCCTCACCTTGATTCTTGCCGGCTCAGATACTACCGGTACGTATGTTAGTTTATTTAGAAGTTAGAACTAATTAATTGTCGAATAAGTTTAGAATGATCTGTCCCTATCCCAACTGAGAATTTAAATAAGATTGGAAAGGAGCTTTATTTCGTAAAAAAATCTCAAAGATGAGTATGACGTTGATATATCAAGTAAAACTATTTTGGCGCTAGAAATTACTTCAAATAAGACTAAAACTATTACAAAAATTTAAAATAAGATTTACTATATTTTGCTTTTCAAAATAGGACCATATTAGTCCTATTGAAAACATACCTATTTTTTCATTTCATTCTTACCCTTCCTTTAAATATGAGTTAATTAAATGTTTAGTTCATAATAAATTCGAAAAACATTCAAAAATTTGTAGAAAAATAATTAAAAAATTTATAAAAAAATTAAATTTTTTTTTATGTTTCTAAAAAATTAATAAAAAATAGTAAAACTCCATAAAAAACTTAAAAAAAATATGAATACCTTTCCCACCGCCTGTACTACCTCCCTGCACCACCATCTCCGGCCGGCGAAAAAAATGTCATTTTTTCTAAAAACTGTCATTTTCTGAAAATGCCCAAAACATGACATATTTCTCTTTGAGAATGACAACATTTTCATTGTTTTCTGCCATAAATATGGCATTCATAATGAACTTGGCATTTTCCCCCTGGTGACTGGAGGTGGTGGTGCAGAGGCGGCGTTGAATTTTATTTTATTATTTTGAGTTTTTATTTTTTTAAAAAAAATTATTTTTTTTTATTTTTTGAAAAGAAAAATAACTAAAATTTTATTATCGAAGTATTTTTATTAAATTTTTAGTATTTTTTACGAATTTTTATTATTTTTATTACTTTATTATGAATTAAAATATTTTAATAGCTATAAGGGTATATTTGTCCAAGACACACATAATTAGTCCTATGAAAACATAATTTATTTTTTGGTCCTATTTGTGCAAAGTGAGTGACTTTTAGTCTTATTTTGATAATTAACCCTTTTAACGCCCCAAAATATTGGAAATACATATAGTAAAATCAATATTTTATACTTTCTTTGTCCTAAAATGATGGTCCTATATTTCCTACTTAGGATGTCTCAAAATGGTTGTCATATTTTCCTTTTGGATAAAGAAACTAAATGGAGTGGGCATTAAAATAAAGGTTATATGGGTCATTCTACTACTCTTTCGTAATATTTGAGCGCAAAAAGTATAAGATCATCAATTTGGGACGGAAGGAGTATCATTTATTTCTCTTTGATGTTAAATGGTGTGAGTTTTCAGTTATTTTGTATTAATAATGTCCAACATAATGTCTAGATCTTGGTACTGTATTAAACATTATGAATTAAAAGTAACTAAAAATAAACACGCCATGGGAAAATGAGAGAGATAAATGACATTAATTAAGTTATATGTCTATCTTCTCATGACACAAACACACTTTCGGCACTTTTGTATTGAAGATGTTTTGAATCCATTCGTACGTTGATTACTAAAGAAACTTTCTTAAATAGGACTAAATCATACGAAGTACTATGTATTTAAAGTCCACAAATACAACCACCTTATTTTTTCCCTAAAATATGACTCATTCACAATTAATTATGTGTCTACTTTGATTTGACACAATTATTAATAAAGTGGTTGAAAAGTTAAAAGTCGCGGTTGAACTTTGAGTGTAATAAAGTGAAATGTTGTATACTACATATTTGTTTCCAAATAAGAAAATGTAACACTTATATTGGGACAATCCAAAAAGGAAAATAAAGTGCAACAGAGTGAGCTATATAGCATGTTATTTATTTATTTATTTATTTATTTATTTATTTCTAACAAGATTTTTATAATTGAACTGGTGTTGGGTACATGCTTATATGCTTCTCCCAAATAAAATGAACGAACGAACGGACGGGGTTGGCTGCAGGCTCAACACTAACTTGGTTGTTTTGGTTGCTTGCCAAGAACCGGTCGGTTGAAGCAAAGATCTTGGACGAGATTCGTCGCCATCGAAGTACAAACAAGGAGGAGGAGGAGGAGGAGGAGGGAGAAGAAGATATTAATATGATTATATTCAAGGCAGAAGAATGTCAGAAATTAACCTACCTCCATGCGGCCGTGTGTGAATCCCTCAGGTTGTTTCCATCTGTACCTTTGAATCATAAGATGCCTACAGAGAAAGACGTTCTCCCCAGTGGGCACACCGTCAAACCCAACTCCAAAATCATAATGCCCTTCTATTCCACGGGGAGGATGGTTTCTGTGTGGGGAGAAGACTGCATGGAGTTCAAGCCCGAGAGGTGGATTTCACCCGCCACAGGTGGAATCCAGCATCAACCATCCTATAAGTTCCCGGCCTTTAACGCCGGCCCCAGGAGTTGTATTGGCAGGGATATGGCTTTCACGGTCATCAAAATGATTGCGGCTACCATACTCTGCCACTATCACTATGAGCTCCTGGCTCATGATCGTCCAGTTGAGATTTCCGAATCCATCCTTCTTGAAATGAAGGATGATCTCAAGGTCGTCTTCACCTATCGGTAGTTTCCTAGTTACTTAGTTCCTTAATTAGTTGGCCGGCTTGTATATTCACCATGCCCGCCGCTCGACCATTTTATTCGGATATCCATCATCAATCATGTCCACTTTTATATACTTTGCATGTGCAGGCCGGCTAGGCCAAGCCGGGGTGCTTCAAATTGAAGTACTTCCAACTCCATTGGCATGTACTTCCACTATTTATTTATTTCTGAACTAAGCGAATAATAAATCAACCCTCTCCTCACCCATACTTTGAAACACAATGATTACTTATATGCCTTATTATTAAATGCCCGTATTATCTTGTAACACCGCCCCCAAGTATTTGTACTTTATCAAATTATGTATTGAACCCTGAGAAATGTATAAAAGCATTTTTACGTGATTGTAAATTTTTATCATTTCTTTTACGTGAATAGTAAAATTAACGTGGGGCACACACCGGATGTGGGGCCGCCCGATATTATCGGGACCACATATTATATTAATCTTGGACTAGATAATATGTATATGGTGGTGGATATCCTAATTGTGCCATGGCAATGGCACGGGGTTGACCGGTTGGTCAAACAGGGCCAAATTATCAGTATCGGCAATTTATCAGATAACAGCCCAAAAAGGGATTTCGGAGACTTCTAAATTAAAATTGGAGAATGCATATTGATTCTAAGGTCCGATAAGGATTGGGAACAAGTGTTATATATTTTTTGACCCGATAAAATAAAATATAGTTAAAGCAGTCCGGAAAATACAACTTTCGGGACCGATTGTACACTTGGGGACATAAATGGATGACCTCCCACTTGAGTGGGGGCCACCCCCACGAATTTGGTGCTGCAAATGTCAAGGGGAGCCGCACTTGACCTGGAGAAGCATGGAAGAATTGATTGGAAGACCAATCAATAGGAAGGCGGACCTCACCTTTGACATTATTTTGGAGAAATGCCAAAAAGGCATTCTCAATCATCAACCTAACCCTCCAGCTCGTCCAACACATCTATCTTTGAGATAGAAGCTCTGCAAACACTTCACAACATCCACCATTCACGAACATGAGCTAAGGAGGAAGAAGGAGGGGAAAAGAGAAGAGAAAAATTGACTTTGGAGAGGAAAACTTGTGTTTAACAAGGTAATGACTCCATTAATCCCATTTCTTTTTCTTCAATCCTCTTATATGATTATTCAATCATATTTCACACCCTAGTATTGTTCTACATGTTTGGAAGTGTAGAATGAGGGGTTGGAAGGTAGTTCTAAGTCCAAGAACGGACTTAGAAGCCAAAGTGACCGGTTCGCCGGAAAATAACCTTTTTGAGGTTATTTGTATTACTATGTGTTTTATGATGATAAAACCTTGTTAGTAACTTGTCTAAGGTATTCAAGGAACTTTCACGGAGTTGAAAGGGTCGCCGGAGTTGTCGCCGGTGTTCGTTGAAGTTCGCTGGAGTTTCGCCGAAGCTAAATCGGGAAGGCTAGAACTTCATAAGCTTCATTAAGGTGAGAAGACGGCTTTATGCTTTATAACTTTTGTGTGAGACATGAGATTACCTAAAGTAATCAAGGATATGTTTTATGGAATGATTAAAGATAACCAAGTGTTTGCTTATGCCATGATTATACATAAAGTATAGTTGAAAAGCATGTTATGTAGGTTTGGTGATTAAAAATGTGATAACTTAATATGTATGATGTTCCAGGGGTCCAAAATGGTATTTTTGGATCAATCACGTAAAGAAGTACATGTGTATAAAATTTCACGTTAATCGGACTCCGTTTGGGCGGTCAAACGGGCGTTGACCGCCAAGTCATCTACTATACCCGATCGGGTATTGGCAAATACCCGACCGGGTATTTGCTGAAAATTTGCCACATGGGCTACTGTCTTCTATACCCGATCGAGTATGGGTAGGTACTCGATCGAGTATACACAAAAAATTGGCCTTACGGGCTACTGTCTCCTATACTCGACCGAGTATAGGTGGGTACTCAATCATGTATTGGGTTATGCTCAAAACAGGTAGTTTTTGAGCGGGTTAATGTGGGCCGTTCAAATGGGACCCGCCCACGTTGGTTCCTAAGGATGGTTATATGACTATAGGGCTGGTATTGTCCATAGTTAAAGGAACAAAAGGTTAGCCATATCCAGGTTAGGGTTTGGTAAGGATTAAGTTTGGGGTTGAGTATCCCCGGGACATTAAATGATCCTGAAACTCGGTTGGGGTTGAGCATCCCCGGGACTATAAATGATCCTGAAACTCGGTTGGGGTTGAGCATCCCCAGGACTATAAATGATCCTGAAACTCGGTTGGGTTTGAGCATCCCCGGGACAATAAATGATCCTGAAACTCGATTGGGGTTGAGTATCCCCGGGACTGTAAATGATCCTGAAACTCGGTTGGGGTTTAGTATCCCCGGGACGGTAAATGATCCTGAAACTCGGTTGGGGTTGAGTATCCCCAGGATGCTAAATGCTCCCAAAACTCGGTAGGATATTATGAATGTAGAATGTAGCTTGTGAGCTAGGCATTCGGGAAAGGAGTGAGAAAGGCCAGGTAAGAACTTTATCTCTAAAAGACTCTTTGAATGAAATGACCTACGGGTCGAGTATTTTACAAATATATATACAGTATGTATCATCGGATGGATGAGTCATATATATATATGTATATATATATATATATATATATATATGTATATATATATATATGTATATATATATATGTATATATATATATATGTATATATGTATATGTATATATATATATGTGTATATATGTATCACCCTATTTTTGGGTCTCGTGTCTGAAACATTAGTTATTCTTCATATAGTATGCTTGTCACTAGTACTTCTATGGAGTACTAACCCCTCCGGGGGGGGCCCTCACACTTTTCAGGTTGAGGCTAGAGTCCTACTACCTGCACCTTTGCCTAGGGTGATTGATCAAGAAGGAAGACGTGGTTCGTGCTTCCATTCTTATTTCAAATTTATAAACTGCTCATGGATTTTCGAATAATGTTTTCTTTAAAACAGTTGGGGGCATGCGTGCCTGTGTTTGCCACGTGTGGCTAAGTATTAAACATATTATTATTTCCGCATTTGTTGATTATGATATTGATGTTGATTGTATGTGTTTACTAATCGGTTTGGAAAGCTCCATAAGGCGTGGGTGAAGAACATCGGGTGGAAAGCTCTCGGGGAACAAGGAGATGGTGCCAGAAATAAATTTATATTCAAGTCCCAAACCAAGAAGCATACTTTGAAGTAATTCTCTATCAGTCATAGGGGAATTTATAGCAGCTAATGCATCAGTCAGATTTTTAATTTCTCGTAAATAATGCTCCATGGATTGGTTTTCTTTCTTCTTAGTATTAGATAGTAAACGTTTGAGTTCCATGACTCTAGGTAAACTGACCGACATAAAACGTGATTGCAAACGCTCCCATATACTAGAGGAATGTTTAATATCGTACACATTAGTTAATACATCCCGAGATAAAGTAGCAAACAACAAAGAATGAATTGTTTGATCAATACGAAGCCTGTGATAATAGTTCGTATTAACGATGTGATGATTATTAAAATCCATAATATACATGAGAGGTATCTCAATGGAGCCATCAATTATGCCAAAAAGTCCTTGAGAAACGAGAAATGACTCAAACTGAGTGCGTCATGTAAGGTAATCCTCAACAGCCTTAAGCTTGATTGTCACGATTTGCCCAACATTAGCAATTCCATGACATACTGTCTGAGCTACCGCTGCCATAGAAGAGTCGAATAAGGGGTTGTCCTGCTGTGGCTAAGTCACGCCTAGAGAACCAGCAAAGGAGGACCCAAAAAATGGAGAACCAGGCAGCTGTGCTAGATGAGGAACCATCGGAGGAGCAAGGGGAGTCACCGACGTCCACGGAAACTGAGGCGGCAGGGAGCTGAAGAGGGAATACGACGGCTCAGCCGTGTATGGACCAACAGAAAGGGAGGAGAATATTGGATCAGATGGTTGTAGAGGCATGGAGAAGCCCACCTGATCAACCGTGTGTTGCGGCAGGGATGGATGTCAAACCGGACGAGAGGGCTGCGGTTGGGTGCGATCCAGAGGGGCGGAAGTCGTGACCGTCGAGGAAGAGTCAGGTGCAACACTAAAACCTACCACTGTTGGGACTGAAATCGGCGGCGTAGGAGGAGCTGAAGTCAGTGGCGCCTTCTTTTTCTGCTTATTACAAAATTCAACCTTACTTTTTCTGCTTATTACAAAATTCAACGGGCGAAATCAAAAGTTACGTGTTTGGTTAAAAAGCTGGTTGATAAGCCTGATAAGCCGAAAAAAGGGGTCAGGAAACGGGCTCACAGTAGTATTGTAATATTTAAATTAAGAACTAAAGCAAACATATACTCCCTCCGTATTTGAAAATACTTCCAACTTTCCCTTTTCGTCCGTCCCAAAAAAAACTTCTCTTTCCTTTTTTGGCAAAGAATTTGTGGTTCACATCATTTCTCTCCTCTGCAGAACTCTCCACCACACAATTCCCACTTTCTTAATCCGTGTGCCACTTTATTTTGGAAGTAAATTATGGGACGGAGGTAGTATCAGAGGTAGAGGACATTCAGCATGAGTGGGTAGACCACCATCTATTAGCGAGATAGACGGGTACACGCCCATTTGGTAACTGTCAAATTAATTGAATCAGCTAAATCCTAGTAGCGGAGCGATATATCAGAGAAGCAGATAACGGGATGACCGCTACTCAGAGAATATATATGCAAAATACATATGATATGTATGCATATAATTACATTGCATACACTTTTCAAATTTAAAAACATGATTTATGTTACTGAAAGTATTAAACATCTTGACATTCATAAATCCTAAATTACCAACAAAATACTCCATTGTGTCATGAACAAAACATATGATGCTATTAAATTATTAAAATTTTAAAACAACTTAAATCTAAACAATGAACAGAAGATGAGACTTAGAAGAAGAAAAGAAGAGGAGTGCAGCAGAGGTTGTTCTTGTAGAGGATGAAGCATGAGAATGTATACTCAAAAGAAGCTGTATAAGATAAAGCTGCAGAGGTTGTTCACTTGCTTGAAGAAGAGAATCAGATACTTGTCATCGTATCAGGCGAGAATCGCAATTGCAGTGCATAAAAGGGTTTTACGGGGTCACTATTTATTTTAAAAAGTCTACTTTAAGCTTAATACCTCTGAATACAAAACTTACCCCAAAACAACCCCTACTGCAGTAAAGAAAAGCAAATAGTGCAGCCATAGCATCCTCTACTCCCACTGTAGTGCCCGGTATATTGACCACCTAACTAGTTGAATCGCTACTCAGTGGTAACTTGATCAAGGACCAAGTCACGATTAGGACCAATTACTCAG